TGTCCCCCCTCACTCAACCTCGCCGGCGAGCACGCGTGGCCCTGGGAGCGCTTCGGCTGGTTTGGTTTTTTGGGTTTTTTTTTTTTTTTTTGGTTTTTTTTTTTTTTAGTCTGCCTGGAAAATGCTGGTAACCCGTGCCGGGTTGTCGAGCACAGAGCTTGCATTCACGCTCCTACCGCCGAAGGCTTGCCCAGGGCATGCCAGGCGCGGAACCTCTGCGCCGAAGCTCCTCGGGCCCGTGTTGCAATCTCCCCTTCCCGCGGAGGAAGGGTGGAGTCGCAGCCGCCGCTACCTGCCCAGGTGCCCGAGCGGTTTGTGCAATGGGCTCGGCAGCCCCCGGGGGGGCCCCTCGCCTCCGCGCCGGTGCTGCGGCAGCGGCGGCTTCCTCCCGGCGTGTTTTTCCTCCCGGTGACCTGGGGGTGCAAGGTGACCCAGAAAAACAACCGCTGGGTGCCACAGCGCCGGGGTGTCCCCCCTCCCCGCGCTTCTGCTTCGCTGCCAGGCCTCGTGGTGCGAGCGGGGAGGAGGCAGCAAGCGATGCCCACGGCCACCTTCACCCCCCACCCACGGGAGAGGCTGTCGCTGCCTCGCTTCGCACCCCAACTGCCTCCTGGGTTGCTTGAGCTGAGCGGATAAGCTTTGTAATTCATGACTATTCAGCAGAAGCAGGGAGGAGAGGGAGAAGGCGTCGTGTCTTTTAGCAAAGGATTTGAGTTTTGCTGGCGTTTTTTTTTAACGGCGGGGTCGTTTGTAAAACCGTTGGTCCCACCGCGCTGACACGGTGGCTGCTGAGCCCCTGCCAGCCCCGGCGCTCGTGCGAGGACGAGCTCGCCACCAGCGCCGGCCTTCCCGTGCGAACGGCTCTTGGGAACTAAAAATAATTCGCAAAAATGTTGGCAGCCGGACACGCAGCCGGGAGAGGAGCCTGTCCCAGAAACCTTCCGCCTCTTCCCTGGGTGGGTGCTCCCAGCTCCCTTCTCCCTGCCCCGGCTCCTGGGCCTTGCTCCTGGCCGTGCGGGTGAGGAAGATGATGGATTCATCCCCCTGAGGCTGCGCGGGGCCAGCGGAGCATCCCAGTCCCGGCCCCTCCGGGGCCACGTGTCGTGGTGCTGGTGGCTTACTGGAGTCTGCTGGGAACCGGCAGGACCTGAGCTGCTTTGGGGATGGGGCAGACCCCCCAGGAGCCGTCGCGGGGCCGTGCTTTTGGCCTTCTTTGGGTGAGGGGAAGAGGAGGAGCTGCTCGCCTGGCCGCCTGCCCCCTGAATCATGTGTGAGCATCGGAGGCTGCCGAGGAGGGGAGTTGTTTACTGTAACTCTTGGCAGAGGTCCCGGCATGAAACCCCAAATGAATTCAAGCTGCAACGGGAGGTCACGACTGAAACAAACAGCTCCCAGGGCAGGAAGGGCTTTGCAAAAGGGGGCCAGAGCTGCTGGAGCCCGGGCCAGGGCAGGAGGGATGCGGGGCATCCCCGGGGAGCTGCCACACGCAGGTGCCGTGCACCGGGGCGGGAAGGGGGGGGGGGGGTCCCAGTGTGGGGACAGTGGGCCAAGCTCCTGCCCAGGAGCTGGGCTGCGCTCCCAGCGCCGTTGCCCCCGGCCGGTCGTCGTCCCTCGCCGCCCTGGCACTCGGCTCCTACAACGTGTTTCTAAGCTCTGGAAAACCGCCCTGAGTTTTGCGGCTTCAGTCCGGGCTGGCCGGGCGCGAAGCTGTAACAGCGGGGCTGGGACACCCCGTGTCACCCCGGGGCACTTCAGGCCAGTCCGTTCTCTCACGGTGCCTTTTTTTTCATCCCATCCTCCCTCTTTCCCACCCCTTAAAAATTTTGCTAAGACATCCCCAGCTGAGCGAGGCCCGGTGTGGTGGGGTGCTCCCCGTGCCATCGATGTGCAGAGCTGGGGGGCCAGGGCGGGAGGAGGGTCCGCGCAGCCTCTGCCGGCGGCTCTTCCCTGGCTCCGGTGCCTCTTGGCAGTGGGGATGCTCGACAGCCTTTTTCCTGGCTCTGGGTGAGTGGTGAGGAGTTGTTTTTCTGGCTGCTGGCCGCTGGCCTGCCCGTCCTCCCTCTCCCCCAGCACACGCGTTCCCTCCCACTTCTCCTCTTCCGCTGCTTCGGAGTTTGTTTTTAAAAAGACTCAAACAAATGAGGTAGAGAGATTCCCAGAGACCCCGCCAGTGCCTTCCCCTCGGCTCTGTGCCACCGCCCACGTCTACCCCTCCATCCCCGGCGGTGCCTGTAGTAGCCCTTCCTTTGCTTGTGGTTGCCCCCCCAAGACCTTCTTGCCCCCTTTTGCCCGGGGGATGTGCTGGAGGGGCAGCTTCCCGAGCCTGAGGATGCTGCTGATGGGAAGATGAAGAACAAGGCTGCTGCTGCTGCTGCTGCTGCTGAGCTTTGGCCGGTGGGAGCTCCCCGTGGGCATTTTTAGCATCGCAAGTGGAGAAAGGCTGTGACAATTCTTCTTCAGATGCAGTCAGCTCTGAGGATGGAGGCTGTGGCTTGGTGGGCTGGTCCTTTCCTCCCCGTACCCCCCCACACACTTTTCCCTCTGAACGATGATTCTTCCTGTAAGCAGGCCTTTTCAGGGTCTCAAAGCTGAGCCCGATGGCCGTGGTCCCCCGGCCGCCCCGCTGCGTTTCCCAGCTCCTGCCCTTCCGTGGGGTTCAGCAGGATGGAGACATTTGGCTGGAGGGGACCGCGGGACGGCTGCGCGAGTTGCTGCAGATAACCGCGTCACGCGGCGGGGATTTGGCTCAGCTGGGAGCTGTCAGAAGTCCCCCTTTCCCACCCTGAGATTTGCTCATTACAGTCCTTGTCTGGCTGCCAGCAGCCCGGCGCATCGGGCAGCACGACGCATGCCGTGCCGCTGCCTCCCTCCAGCCTTCCTCCCGCCGAGCATCCCCGGGGTGCTCAGCCGGCACCCATCCCTCCGGCATCCTCCTCCTCCTCCTCGCTGGGAGATGAGAACACACGTGAGCTGAGGTGACAGCCCGGCTTATCTCTTGCATCCTTCAAAATCGCTGATGTTTAGCAAGATCTGAGGCCCTTTGGGGATTGCTGAAGCTGGGAGGTTTCTGGAGCAGCAGGCAGGTACGGCCTCCCAGGGTGCTGGCACCGAGTGCTGTGGCCTCTCACATAGTGCTGGGCTGCATCGTCAGCCCCGTGGAGGATGTCAGGCTTTTCGGGACCCCTGCCTGGCTTCTTGCAGGTGTTGAAGGGCACATGGTAGGCAAAACAAAGGGCTGAGAGAAGACTAGGGGCTTTCTCGCGTAGGGTAACTTCACCTGGCTTCTGGTTTGCTCATAAAAACGTAGCTGAAATGCACTCCTCTGCTTTTGCCGTGCCTGACCCCCAAAGGGGCTGTTGAGGCTCATCCTGCCCATCTCACAGCATCACACTGTGTCCAGCCCCGAGGCCTGGGTGATAACGGGGCAGAGGAGCTCAGCGGCTTTCAGGCTGCGGCTGTTAATCTTCCTCAACCTCCATATCACGCTGGTGATGGTGGGGCAGGCAGGGTGTAGCAATTAGAGCCAATTAGCCAGAGACAAATTAAATCCCAGGCGGTTATCAGTGAGACGGAGAGAGAACGGAGTAAACCCTGTGATGGGGTTTCCTGGGAACATCAGGTCCTTCTCCAACATGGGCTGAGGTCGGGGATGTTTCTGAGCTGGTGCAGAGAAGCGTTTGCCCTCGACTAGAGGGAATTTTTCCTGCCTGGGCCGTGCAGGAAAGCCAGATCTGGCCCCGTTTCAGCAGGGCCGTGCACCCCGTTGTCTGCAGGGATGCGTGCCTGCAGTTATTAATAGTCCCTGTGCCTTCCTCGGGTGAGCACACTCGTGCTCCTTCGCCTTGCAGGGACGCAGGGGCTGGGGCGGGAGTTTGCTGGGTTTCCCCCTGCCAGAGCTGTGTAAATGCTGCATTACGGGGCAGAGATTTCTCATGCAGTATTGTGGTCATCAGCACAAGCTCCCCGATGCCGTTGAGGCTGAGGTTTGTACAGCACAGGGTGTGGTTCTCTGTCTGTAAAATAACGTTTGTATTTGAGTTTGTTGTTTGCTTTTTTTTTTTTTTTTTTTTTTTTTTTTAAGTTTAAACTGCTTTTGAATATTTAGTTCTCAGGCTGCAGCGGCCTCGGCCCTGCGTCCTGCAAGAGCATCCCCCTGCGACAAGAGCATCCCCCTTGCAGTGCCTTTGAATGCAGAATTTCCTTCCCACCTGCCTATTTCCAACTTCCCCCGTGCTGCGGTGCCCGTGGGGAAGCACGAAGCTACAGCAGCCACGGCTGCCTTGCGCCCGGCTGCGTTGGGTTTGTGGGATGCCCCGGGCCCGTCGGGGCTGTCCGTGCATCCTTCAGCTGCTGTCGTGCTCACTCATCCCCTTTCTGCCCGCGCTTGGCCGGCTCGCTGTGACGTTGGGGGCATCTGGAGCATCTCTCTGCAGAGCCGCGGGAGGAGCGGTGCAGCCGCGGGCGTCTGCATGGCTGGGTGGCTCTTCTGCAGGTTTGGCTTCTGTTTTGTCGCAGCTGGAGGTGACCGGCTCTGCTCTGCACTGGCCCGTGGCACCTACAGGATAAATTAAGCAAAGCTTTAGGAGCTGGGCGGTGAAAATCCCCTGCCACTGTGTGTAGTTGGGACTATTTCAGGTGTTCCCACGAGGACGGGGGATTCACCACACAGGGAGGCTGTGCATCCAGGCAGGGCGGGAGTGTCTGAAATTTGCAGAGCAATTCTCAGCCGTGGCGTCCAGGAGAGATGCCTGCAGCACCTTGGAGACTCTCCAAAGGTGTATAATTTACAGGATTTTTTTTTTTTTTTTTCCCCCCAGATGATGGAGGAGGCTTTTGCAGGCAGTAGGTGGTGTGTGGCAAGCCCTTCTCAATGGCAGGGCACGTTCCTCACAGCGCATCGGGATATACCCGGGCCCCATCCTGATGCGTTCCGTGCCTACCAGAGAGGGGGCTCTGAGCCGGGCAGGGACTGAGCCGTGCCCCACTTTGTGTCTCGACAGCTGCTGTGAACCCGTGCACCTCCCCACGGGTGCCCCAGACCGCCCCCATGGACCTGCGAATCGGGCAGCGCGTCGTCAAGCCCAGCTCTGACACCACTCTGCTGGCCCTGAAGCACACGCAGCAGCTGCAGCACCAGCTCTTCCTCGCCAGCCTGCACCAGCAGCAAGTGGAGCAGCTCGCCCACCAGCACGTGAGGGTACGGGCACGCTGGGGTGCAGGGGCGGGGGGGGGGGGTCCCCACACCCTCTCTCGGTAGCGGCTGGGTAAGAACTGGGCACACTGAAGAATTAATTTTGCCCCCAGAGCACGCAGCTCACGGTGCCACGTGTGTCTGCCAGCAGTGCCCTGCGTCGGGGCTGGCTTTGCCCAAGCTCCCATCTCTGGCAGGAATTAAGAGGGAAAAAAAGACTGTAAATCCCAACCCCCCCCCCCCCCCAGATAACCTTCCCAGGTGAATTCCTTCTGTTCCCTGAGCTGGAGAGTCTGTCGTGCTTTTTAGCCAGCCCAGAGACCATTCTGACGCAAGGAGGCCGGTTAGGGAGCCAGGTGGGGGGGTTTCGTGACTTACTTTCAGGCCAAATCTCCGTCCTGCCAAGGCCAGCGGGAGGGCTGGGGCCTCCTGGGATGTGTGAAGCAGGGAAATGTTTTCAGCGCATACCATGTGTGCTGAGCGAGGAGCCAGAGCGACTGGACAGGATGCCTGGTGTCTGTGATCTGCCACTCTGCTTGGCCACCGCTGTTTCTCTGCCCTAAAGGCACGGCTTACTCACTTTACAAGCTAATTTGCTTTTCTGGGAAGTCTTCACTGAAATTCTCTAGTGTCACCCAGAATAGCACCCCTGCCCTGCACAGCCTCTGCTGCCAGGCTCTGCATTGTCACAAAATTACAGCAAGATTTAGCTGGGATGGTTCCTCGGAGGCCCCTGCTGAGGTCAGGGCCAACTTTAGAGGCAGGGCAGGTTGCAGAGGACCACGTCCAGGCGGGCTGTGACCATCTCCAAGCGCAGAGATCACCCCCTGCACGTCGCAGTCGCAGGGCTGCCCCGTGCTGGTGGCAGGAAGCAGTTCCACATATCCAGCTGGGATTTTCCTCGTGGCACATCTGAGCCGTTGCTGCTCCCCCTTTTTGCTGCAGCCCTTGGAGGAGGCTCCATCTTTTTGGGGTGGAAGATGTGGTTGAACCCCCTCACTGCTGAACTAAAGAAGCCCAACCTCGTCCATGTCTCTCACGTCCCATGTGCTCTGCCCCTGAGCGCCAGCCCAGCTCTCAGTGCGTGGTGTGGGCTCACTGGTCCCAGTAACCTTGTCTGGAAGCCCCGGGGGGATCAGACTGAAGCTTTTCGGGAGAGGCTCAGCATCAGCTCGGTCCACGCAAGGAGAGTTTGAGATGCTGCTGCTGCCACGACTGTTGGGTGCTTGGAGGCATTTGTGCTTTCTGACCTCCCTGTGAGATGGGATCATCTCTGAAAACTTCAGCTCTGGAAAACACCAAGATCCACACTTTTAAGACTAGTATAATAGGTTTTTTTCTTTTTTCCCCTTTTTAGTCAACTGTAATTTTTAGTTTTTGTTGTATTACAACACGCCCTAGCTACAGATATGTCAAAACACCATGAAAGGCAGCAAGCTGAAACAGACTGGATTGAGTTTTACAATGTCCCCGGGGAGAGCGTCTCCGGAGACAAAGATGCGTCCGGTTTGCTGTGATGAAACAACTTAACGCGTTCTTGTCAGCCAGGGCTGCCCATCGCGTTTCCCAAAATGACAAAACGGGTTCTTTCAGACCTGCTCCATCACCGCGTCGTCGTGCCTTGGGCTTCGGAAGGGGGTCGGAGGGCTTCGGTCTGTGTTGGGTGAGGCTGGGGTGTCCTGGTGCTGATGTCCCGCTCCTCTCGCAGGTGACCATGGAGTCCCCGCACCGTGAAGCTGAGCCTGGGCAACAGGAGCAGGAGCTGCGGCAGATCCTCAACAAGGACAAGAGCAAACGAAGTAAGAGCCTCTGTGTGTCCGCTGGCACGTGGCACCGGGTGCTGCGTCTCTGCCCGAGGAGCCGTGTCCCCAAAACGGGGGGACTCAGCTGACAGAGGGAGTGAGGTCAGAGTGGCTTTGAGAAGGGGGCTCGGCAGGGGGTTCGGCCCTTATCCAGACCAAGCTCTGCTTTCTCTTGGTCTAAAGGCGTGTGATAACATCCACCCCACCGAGCATCTCCATCCTGTGCATGGAGCTGAGCCCGTGCTCAGTGCCTGCCCGGGGCCACGAGAACAGCTTAGTCTCCACGGGGAAGTCTGGTCCTTCAGAGCGCCAAGCAGCGATGCCAGCAAGTTGCACTTAGCAGCTGGCAAGAGATTTTTTTGGCCCTGGCCTGGCTGGTGTTTCTCCTTCACGTCCTTCCTAGCCATGCCAACCGGGTGGTCACAATAGTTCTCCGTGCTAACTTTGCCTCGAGCCCTGCGGCCACGGCAGCGATGCTACCCGAGCTGACAGTGCTGGGCAAGGCGTGAATTCGCCAGCCCCGAGCTGGAGCTCCCGTGGCAGTGGGGAGAGGTTAGTTGGGCTCCCCCCCTCCCCAGCCCTGCTCCACGCCGGGCAGAAAGGTTTGCAAACCTTTGTCCGGCTGCGATCTCCCTGCGCCATCTAGTGCCAGTCGCCGCAGGGAGCTCGCTCGGAGCTTTCGGATGCGCAGAGCGCTGCATCCCCACCCAAAGCTGCAGCTGCAGCATGCATCCGACGCCCTGCGCCCATCCCAGCGTCCGCGAGCCTGCCGGCCACCCGTCCTTCCAGGCTGAGCTATGTCAAGCTGCTATTCCCCCCTCGGCACCGACGTGGCTGCGGAGCACGGGCCGCTCTGCCGCGCTTCCCGGGATGGGGCTAATTGCAGTGCCGAAAGCGCAGCGCCTGCCCTTTCCGTGCCATCCCTGAGCAAACAGCTCCTGGAAACACGGTCAGCTCAGCGTGGCGGAGCGTGGCGGCCTCCACGCAGCCTCTTTGTGCAATCTGGGGGTTAATCACACAAACGACTCAAGGAACTTGCGCTCGGAGGCGCTGAGCGCTGGCCCAGAAGCTCAGAGCCATCCCCGTTGTAGCCACAGAGTGTTTCTGCTGGAACGGATGGATGGGGATGTGGCCTGGCGTGGGTGGGAGCACGGGAATGGGCCCGAGTCTGAGGTGGGGAAACACGGGAAGCTCACGGCACCCTGGGGGGCGTTTGCCAGGTGTTGAACGTGGGTCGCCGCCGTTTGTTTGCTGGCGGGTTGTGGTAAGTCTCATGCTCTTCTGGAAGAGCGCAGCTCCACCAAGAGATTCAGGAGCCTCAAAGCCATCCCCTGAACTGTTTGGAGAGGCTTTCTTCTTCTGGCTGTCTCTCGTGCAAGCTGTCCCTGTTTGGGGGCAGAGCGTGGCTGTGGGGGGGGGCGGAGGTGCAGGGCAGGCAGAGCTGTATGCCGGCAGCTGGAAATTACCAGCGTGTAACACAGGCTCAAAGAGCCCCAGGGCACAGTGTCTCTGGAGAGGCTTCAGAAAGATTCCATGCACACGTGGGAGTTTTGTCACTGCTTTACAAGCCACGTTGTGCTTTCATGCCCTCTTTATTCTGTGGGTGTCAGCTTATACCTGCTCGCTCTGGCTCAGATGAAGCAGGCAGCTCTGCAGCTGAGACTTGCCTCTGGCAACGCTTTGCCTCTCACCAGCCGCACTCCTAATGCTCAACAAGGCACAGGCGAAATGCTGGGGCTCCCGAGATGATGTGGGAGAGCTGAGGGAGGGACAGAGATGCTTCCGTGATGCCCTGGGAAACTCTGGTGGTCCCAGCTGAGCCAACACTGACCTGGGAACTGCACCAAGCACCTCCACAGGGTTTTGTCGGCGTCTGCGTTCTTGTAGAGGGTCTCCAGCCATCCTGGCATGACTTGTGCAGCCATGGGGGAGCTGTGGGGCCACGCTCATGCCTGCAGGGATCCTTCAGAGTGCTCTGTGTCAGCTCTCAGCCCTTGTGTGGTCGTTGCTGGTCTTTCTGCAGGTGCTGTGGCCAGCACAGTGGTGAAGCAGAAGCTGGCTGAGGTCATCCTGAAGAAGCAGCAGGCAGCTTTGGAGAGGACCAGCAACCCCAACCCTTCAGCCATGCCGTACAGGTAAAGTGAGGGCATCCGCTGGCCTGCCCCGAGCAGGACATCTGCTCAGCGCCCAGAAAAGGTGGCTGTTTATCCTGGGCAAGACCTTGCTGTTATCTTCTGCTTCTTGGTCTTTAGAGATACTGCTTAGCTAATGTCTGTTGGGGTGAGGTAGCTTGGTTCTGTGTTAAGTGCCTGCAGGAGGTGGATGAAGCTCCCACATTGCTTTTCCTGCCCTTGTTGGACTTTGATGGCTTGTCCCACTCCTCACCCAAAAAGTACTGTCAGGCTTCTTGTCTTTTGTCCCAAGACAAGGCAAAACTAGCAGCTGGATCCCTTCTACAGGTGCTTGTGGTAGTGGACAGGCCAGGCCTTTTTGGCCACTGGCAGAAGAGCTAGCAAACGCCCAGGAAGGGCAGTGGCTCACGGGTCACCCGTTGGAGGGCGTAGCATGAGTGGCACGTGGCTGCCAACTGGGAGAGGTCTCTGACAAGGTGGTTTCTCCCCACAGGTCTCTGGAGCCTCTGGATCCTGAGGGCCCTTCCCCCCCTGTGCTCAGCACCTTCCTGCCCCCCGTCCCCAGCACTTCTCTTGACCCCCCAGAGCATTTTCCGCTGCGGAAGACAGGTCAGGCCTTGGGGATAACTCCAGCTCCCTCCCGGTGTGCTGCCCTCGCAGTCTGCTTGCAGGGGACGGCTGGAGCTGAGAAGCGGGGTGCCCTGGCCCCACAAACCAGCCCAGCTTCCCCCCCCCCCCCATCAGCAGTGGGGCCGGGACTAAACGGTTTTGTCTGCTCGCAGCGTCTGAGCCCAACCTGAAGGTGCGTTGCAAGCCCAGGAAGTGCCTTGACCGACGCAAGAACCCCCTGACGCGGAAGGAGAGCGCTCCCCCCTCGCTGAAGAGGCGGCCGCCCGAGGCCATTGGTGAGGGCTCTGCCTGGAACCTCATATCTCAGGGCTTCGGAGAGAACTCAGGGCCAGGCTGGAGCAGCTACAGTCTGCCCAGGATCCTGTGCCACATCTGCTTGGGGGCCGTGTCTCCGGGGCTTGGCGCGTTGGAGCTCTCTGCCGTGACGGTGCAGGGATAGATGAGCCAAGAAAGGGCGTTGCTGCAGCTGTACCCCGCTGCTTCTCGGGCTCGGGATGGGGCTACAAGGCTGGAAGGGTCCAAGGCTCTGAGCGAACACGGCTGGTCAGGATTCCTCATGGTGGTGTGGTGCCTCATGCACTGGCAGCACCTCCACTGCCAGCCCTAGGAGGGCAGTGGGCAGGAGGAAGGGCTGGGGTAGGGGCTGTGTAGCCCTTCTCTGGGTGCATGTGCCCACCACCCCCTTGTTTCTTTTCCCTGCCCAGACTCGTCCCCGAGCAGTAGCAGCACCCCCGTGTCCGGCTGCAGCTCTCCCAACGACAGCCTGCCCGCTGAGCACGGAGCCCTCCCCGCTGCCTCCGGCATGGCCCACGAGGTGAGTTACGACGGCCTCGCAGCCAGAGGTGGGTTGGGGCTTCCTGACCCCAGGGTTGGGTGCCCTCACCTCCCACTCCCATCCTAGGCTCAGGCGAAGGTAGCATCCCCCCCGAGGGACCCCAGCCCTGAACCCCACTGCCCTTAGCCCTGCTCTCCCTGCATGGTGGGATCCTCTGCCCGGCCCAGCGCTGCCCCTGACACACTGCCCGCCTTCACAGCGTGCATTTCTTGTCTCCTAGTGTATGTGCTGTCCCCACGGGTCCCTGATGGCCCCTTGCCCTGGCCCCAGGCGTTCCCCCAGGCGGCTGGGGCTCAGCCACCCTCTTCTGCTCCCCATGCCTGAGCTGCTTGTCCCGTGCTGAGCTCTGCTGCTGCTGGAGCAGAAGACTAATGAATTGTGTTTGGTGCAGACGCCCCTGGCCCAGCGCCTGATGATGCAGGAGAGCTCACTGGCCCAGTTTGCCCTGCAGAGTGCAGCCTCCCTTCCAGCCATCACGCTGGGATTGCCAGCTACCACTAGCACCAGGGTAGGTAGCCAGGATGTAGGTAGCCCCAGAACTGGGCAGAGGGTCCCCGCGGGGCAGGGAAAACCCTTTGCTTTGGGCCGGGGGTTCCGGGGGCAACGCCAGGCGTGTGCTGGCTCTCAGTATTCACAGCTGCTGCCTTTGGGCACGGGGGGAACATGCCGTCCCCTCCCCGTGCTGTGTCCTGGCGGGTTGCTAACTCAGGCCTCCCCCCTCTCTGCAGGGAGAGGCAGATCGCCGCCCCCTCTCCAGCCTGGCGCACCGGGTGCCCGTGCTGAACGGACCTGTCCTCGCCAGCACGCACTCGCCCATGTTCATACCGGCTGGCTTGGAGCAGCACGAGGCTGGGAGCCCCTTATCCCCTCGGCTCCAGCCCGTCATCATCCTCGAGCCCTCGGTCACCCACACTCCGCTGGTGGCAGGTAAGTGCCGAGCTCGGTGACAGCCACTGAGCTCAGTGGGGAGCTTCGCTCGGGGCAGGCGGGTGCTTTGGGTGCTGGGAAAGCCCAGTGGCCTTGTTTTCTCCATTTCTCTCCCATGAGCCGGGGCTGACGGGGTGGAAGATGTCATCCCTGGTTCTGGCTGGCCAGCAAGCGTGTCCGTGCCACGCACCACGGCCTCGGCAACGCCGAGAGCACCGTAGCTTTGGCTCTTCCCTCCAGCTGCCCCTTGCCCTGCCTGAGCTGGGCTGGTGTGGAGCTGTTCACCCTGCCCGCAGCCCACTAGCCCCCTCCAAGGGGCCTTTCCTGCCTCTTCCTAGGCTTTTGTGCCAGCAGATTTCACTACAGACCCTGCGTTGAGCAGGGCAGCTCAGACCTCTTGGCTGTGACTCTGAGCTGCCTTATTCCCCACCAGCCCCTCTAGGAAATCCGCTCTGACTGTAGCAGAAAGAGAAGTGGCTCCTTTGTGCTGGTTCCTGGCTCCATCTCTCCCTGCCCTCTGATACCTGCAGGGAAGGAAGCTTCTCCCATTGAGGATGAAGCTGAGAGGGGACTGAGATGATTGAGGTCAGCCAGAACCTGTCCCCAGACCCCTGAGGGACAAAGAGATGGGGACAGAAGGAGGGGGAGCCATGAAGGCACAGCCTGTCCGTCCCAGGCTACCAGATACTGGGCCCCATGGCTGGGTCGCTGTCATTTTTAGGGCTCTCTGGAGATAGCCTGCGTGGGGGCAGACAGCACTGCTGCTTGCCGTGCTGTGGACTGGCAGCCCTGCAGGTTGTCATGCCTGCCCGGTGGACAACGCCACCCCTCACCTCTCCTTCCTCCCTGCTCCAGTGCCAGGTCTGGGAACGGTCCCCTTCTCCTTCGCCCCCTCGCTCATCTCTGCCGAGCGCCTCTCGCTCCCAGGCCACCATAAACCGCTGGGCAGGACCCGCTCGGAGCCCCTGCCCCAGAACCCCAAAGCCATCCAGCAGCAACTGGTGTACCAGCAGCACCACGCTCAGTTCCTGGAGAGACTGAAGCAGCAGACGCATCTGGGCAAGGTAAGCCCTGGAGAGCTGGGCAGGTAGGAGGCAATGGGAGAGAGGTGCTGGAAGGGCGCAGGATGGCATCCATACCTGCTAGGCTGTGAGTGCCACGTGTCCAAGGCGTGCGAGATGCTGCCTTGCCCAGAGCTGAGGGTACCTGCTCAGCTTCCTTGGCTCCCACATCCACCGTGCTCCTGCCCCTAGATGCCCTGCCACCGCCCATGACCTTCTTGGCTTGGCCTGTCCCCTGCCACCTCTCTGTGCTCATTCGTGACCCTTCCGGCTGCAGCGCATGGCCAAATCCAGCGAGAAGCCCCGTCTGCGGCAGATCCCCTCCTCGGAGGACATGGAGGCCGAGGGGACGCTCCCAGAAACCGGAGCTGAGAGCAGCGACGCGGCAAGGGCACGTGTGGAGCCCGCCCGGCCGGGGAGCGGCGTGAAGGAGCCCGAGAGGACGCAGAAGATGATGCAGCCTCAAGAGGAGCTTGTCCTACAGCAGGTACACAAGGGCTGGCAGGGATGAGAGAGCCCCGGGGAGGAATCAGTAGCAGCCCTTTCCCTCCTGGGACAAAAGGGACGGTGCTTTCCCCGGCTGCCCCAAGCTGCGTGGAGCCCTCAGTGTGGTTGGTTTGAAGCCCTCCGAACAGGCTCAGGAGTTGGCTGTAATAATTAGCATTCCTAGCCTTGTCCCTCTCTCCTCTTGTGGCTTAATTGCTTTGAGCATTAGTCCTGAACAGGCAGCATGCAGAGATCCCTGCCCTGCCATCTGGAGCAATTCTTTTCTCCATCCCTTGGTCTCTCCCATTTGAGGCTTTGCACAAACGCAGCTCAGGTAGCCTCCTGAGCCTGGGAAGATTCAGATCAGATTCAGAAAGCCACTTCTGTAGAGGGATGCTGTGTGGGTAAAGACACAGGCACCGTGTCTGTACCTTCCTTGAGCCCGAAGTAGTTCACTAGGACAGGAAGGAGAGCTGCAGCCACCCTTGGTGTCAGCAAGGTGGGATATCATCCCCCAACTTGCTGGGCATTGTCCCCTCAACTTGCTGGGCATCGTCCTCCAGATTGCAGGGCATCATCCCCTCAAATTGCTGGGCATCGTCCCCACAACTTGCTGGGCAGTGTCCCCCAGGTTGCTGGGCATCATTCCTCAAATTGCTGGGCATCATCCCCTCAAATTGCTGGGCATGGTCCCCCAGGTTGCTGGCCATCATTCCCCAAATTGCTGGCCATGTTCCCCCAAGTTGCTGGGCATTGTTCCCCAAATTGCTGGGCGTGTACCCCCAGGTTGCTGGGTATCATTCCCCAAATTGCTGGGCATGGTCCCCCAGGTTGCTGGGCATCATTCCCCAAATTGCTGGGGATCATCCCCTCAAATTGCTGGGCATGGTCCCCCAGGTTGCTGGGCATGGTCCCCCAAATTGTTGGGCATGGTCCCCCAGGTTGCTGGGCATCGTTCCCCAAATTGCTGGCCATGTTCCCCCAGGTTGCTGGGCATTGTTCCCCAAATTGCTGGCCATGTTCCCCCAAGTTGCTGGGCATTGTTCCCCAAATTGCTGGCCATGGTCCCCCAGGTTGCTGGGCATCATTCCCCAAATTGCTGGCCGTGGTCCTCAGGTTGCTGGGCATCATTCCCCAAATTGCTGGGCATGTTCCCTCAGGTTGCTAGGCATCATTCCCCAAATTGCTGGCTGTGGTCCCCAAATTGCTGGGCATGGTCCCCCAGGTTGCTGGGCATCATTCCCCAAATTGCTGGGCATGGTCCCCCAAATTGTTGGGCATGGTCCCCAGGTTGCTGCGCCGTGCAGTGGGGCTGCCCAGCGCTGCGGGGCTGAGCCAGCAGAGAGCAGCAAACGCTGCCCCGACGTGTCCCAGCTCCTGCAAACCAGCTCCGAGCCCCCGCAGCGTGGGAGGGGGCTGCCCTGCCCAGACCCCAGTGCAGGGCTCCCTTCCCTGTGCCAGCTGATGCTGCTCTCGCCTCCCTGGTGCCGGGCTCACCGCCGCCTCCCTCCATCAGGCTTATCTCTGGGATTCCTACCAGCGTGCACAGCAGCAGCTCCTCAAGAGACAGCCCTTGGCCGACTCCCCCATGGTCCCCACCATCCATGCGGGGCACAGGCCCCTCTCCAGGGCCCAGTCATCTCCTGCCACCGCGACAGTCTCCCTGCCTGCCCAGGATACGGCCTCCAAGACGCTCTCCCTGCCTGTGCAGGAGCAGCCAGCCAAGCCACACTTCACAACAGGTACGGCCCAGCCCCTGTGTGGGGCTGTCACAGCTGGAGCAGCAGCTGGGGACAAGAGCTGGAAGGGAGGTGGGGGTGCCCAAGGGCAGCTTAGCATCAGTCCTGCTCACTCCCAGACTCATAAATGCTTGGGAGTGCGCTGGCTGGCTGCAAAAAGAGCAGAGCAAGCCATGAGGGGCCCCTTTTCCTTATCTAAGGTGGCTTTTTCAAGCAGGAAAAGGCCCCTTGACTGCCATCCTGGTCCAGCAGCTCTGGCAAGGTTCAGCTCTTACATATCCCAGGCAGGATTTGCTTCAAGCACGTTGGGAGAGAGGCTGCCGTGGTTGGAGGGAGGTGTTTCAGTCGAACCAAATAGTTACGGGTGTTTGGGGTCTCGGCCAGTCCCTGAAAAAGCTGAATTAGGCTCAGCACTGTCGAGGCCTGGGTGTCCAGTCCAGTCTCTCCTTGTGCGTGGCAGGACTGGTTTACGACTCGGTGATGCTCAAACACCAGTGCTCCTGCGGCGACAACAGCAACCACCCGGAGCACGCGGGCAGGATCCAGAGCATCTGGTCCCGGCTGCAGGAGAGAGGGCTGCGCAGCCAGTGCGAGGTGAGCGCGAGCAGCAGGGTGGGAGCCGGGAGGGGGATGCTGCTACGAGCCCCTCTCGTGCTAATGCTGCGACAGGGCATCCTGCTCCCGCCTCCCGTCCCTTTTGCTCCTTGCTCTTCTCAGCCCGTTTACCGTCGTTATCCAGAGGATTTGGACTTATGCATTCCTGGCAGTGCCAGGCTGGAGCATGCTGGGCTGACCGTCTCCAGCTTCAGATGGCAGCGGCAGTCTGCTCTGCTGGAAGATGGGCTTAGGGAGAGGCGTGAGCTCTACCAAAACGGGGTGTTTTAGCAACTCGGGGAACACCAGGGTCAGTTCCAGTCTGTTAGAAACCTTGCCCTGGTCTAGCTGGGCGGAGGGGCCCCCGCAAGGCTCTGCAGTTGTCGGAAGGTGGTGTTGGCATTTCCTGCCTGACCCCTGCCTGCGAAGGAGGGGGGTGCCCAAGCTCCAATCCAGTGCAAAGGGAGCTCAGCTTTGCGGCTGCCTCCCCGGCCGCGGTGACGCGAGGTGCGGCTGTACACGGACAGCAGGACGTGATGCCTCCACCCTCGGCGGCCGGTGTGCTCGGCTGGGAGAGCCTGAACCTCCCTCCTGGAGCGGTTTGCTCACAGCCCTTCTCCGCCACAGTGCCTGCGGGGACGCAAGGCCACCCTGGAAGAGCTGCAGTGTGTCCATACGGAGCGCCACGTCTTCCTCTACGGCACCAATCCCCTCAACCGCCTGAAACTGGACAACGGGAAGCTGGCAGGTGAGTCGGCGCCCCCACCGCTCCCTCGGGCAGCCGTGCCTTCTCCTGCTGCCTGGCCCTGCCTGCACACCCACAGTGCGTCTCGGAGCACCCTCAGCCACCAAGCAGCTCCCCTGGAAGCTGCTCCTAATTCTGGCCAAGCGGCCAAGCCTAAAGCTCCCTCCCTTGGGAGCCCTGTGCCACGCGCCCTGTCCCCCCACCGTGCCTCAGTTTCTCAGCTCTGAAGTCCTCGCTGTCCCCTCTCTCTGCAGGGATCCTGTCTCAGCGGATGTTCGTCATGCTGCCCTGCGGAGGGGTGGGGGTAAGTGCTCGATCTCTGCTCTGGCTGGTTTTGGACAGGGTCGTTCCTTTTTGCTGTCCCCAGCGAGGGCCTGCTCACGGGCTTGAGCGGAGAGGGAGCTCCCGAAGCCGTTGGGTAGCCTCAGGTGGGAGCACTCCCTCCACGGGCAAGACGTCATTGTATCAGAGCGTGCCCCTCCCCGTCCTCGGGATGGTCCTAAGCATCCCACCCTTGAAAGGGGTTCATTTATGCCTGCTTACGCCAGGGAACCCAGCAACCAAAAGCCCCTCAGAGCCATTTCTAAGAGCCCAGGCCATCAGAAGGGAGCGAGCTGGTGGGACGGCTGGGGGAAGCCGCAGGCCATGGTCTCCACCACGGGAGGGGAGCGGTGTCGTGGGGACAGCAGCTCGCCACTTCTCTCCAGTCACTCCCGTGGCCTCTCCTTTCGCAGCTTGCCGTCCTGGTTTCTCTCCATTCACTGCGTTCTCCTCTCTTCCTCTCTCCCCCCCCCGTCTCTGTCCTTCTCTCTCTCTTTCAGGAAGGGTCTCACTCCATGCCTTCCTGCTGCCTCTTCTGGTTCTTCTCCTCTCCTTGCCCCCGCTGCTGGGCACCAGCTCTTCTCAGCCCCATTTTGCATCTACTTTCCCTGCTCTGCCTCCCCCTCCCTGCTCTCCTCTCGCCCGTGCCCCGAAGGCGGGGGGGGGGGTGCTGGAGCTGCCCCTCTCCGTGGGCAGAGGGGAGCCCTTTGAGTTGCACACATGGCGTTGATCAGAAGAGACTTGAGTTTTCCGGCTCTGGCTCGGCCCTTGACGTGATCCTGATCAAACCAAGATGTTTGGTTAAACAATAAAATAAGATAAAAAAAGGTAACGAGCGTTTTCTCAGTCACTCCTTCCAGCCCCTGGGGGCGAGGTGCTCTGTGCGGAGCTCGGGGCTGGGGATGACAGCAGGCAGAGGAGCTGCTATCCTGGCCAGGATTGCATCCTTGCCCCGTTGTGTGCGAGGCTCCGCCGGTGCCCCGTCCCTTCAGCCTGCACGGGACTTCAACCCCTGGCCCCGAGCAGGGCGGCTGGCAGAGATCGTGGGGCCCGTGACTGAGACCTCCTCCACCGGTGCCTGGTCCCCGCCCGACCCATCCCCTTGCTTCCAGGTGGACAGCGATACCATCTGGAACGAGCTGCATTCCTCCAACGCTGCCCGCTGGGCCGCGGGCAGCGTCACCGAGCTGGCCTTCAAGGTGGCCACCCGGGAGCTGAAGGTAGGCTGGCTTCATGTGGAGGGCCCGGAGCTGCCCATCGCCCCACGGCCGGGCAAGGCTGGGGGGAGTAGGGGCTGTGGGGTCTCACCGCCTGGCCCCGGGTGCTCCCAGGGCTGCGTGATGCTGATTCCACCCACCCACCCCCCCCTCCCCTTTTGTTTTGTCTCCAGAACGGCTTCGCTGTGGTGCGACCACCCGGACATCACGCGGATCCTTCCACCGCCATGTAAGGGCCCCTTCCCAAGGCGCAGGGCTCCGGGCTGGCACGTGGGAAACGCCCCCCCCCCCAAAAAAAAAAACATCTCCTTGGCTCAAAACCGCTGATTGCTCCAAACTAACCTCCCCCTGGCACCCCATCCGTATCGAGGCTGGAGGGAGCGGGGAGGGGAGAGCCCACCCTTTGGGGAGCACGTGAGCCAGGAGGAAAGGGTGCTCAGGAAGGACCCGGGTGATAACCAGCTCCACCTCCCTCTTTGCAGGGGATTCTGCTTCTTTAACTCGGTGGCCATTGCTGCCAGGCAGCTGCAGCAGAAAGGGAAACTCAGCAAGATCCTCATCGTGGACTGGGTAAGTCCCCGCTGTCCCCCAGCACGTCCCTGCCTCCTCCCCAGGACGCCTGCACCTCCTCCCAGCTCTGGGTTGGAGCTGGACCGGAGAACAGCGAAACCTTTTTCGGGGACCGGCTGCCGGGCGCGTGGCTGGGAACCCCCTGGCGTGGCAGGATGGGGGGAGCCAGGAGCAGATCCTGGGGATGGGGCACCCAGCCCTGGAGCAGGGTACAGATCCAGTCACTTTTAGCTCCGTTAGGCCACCCTGAAGGCTGAAAAAAAGAGCGTTTTCCCAGTCCCTCTCTCCCTTTAGGATGTTCACCACGGCAATGGGACTCAGCAGATCTTCTACAGAGACCCCGACGTTCTCTACATCTCTTTGCATCGTCACGACGACGGCAACTTCTTCCCCGGTAGTGGGGCTGCTGATGAGGTAAAAAGCACTGACAGGTCCGTGCAGCTCTGCCCGGGGACGGCCGCGCCGGTGGCGAAGGGGACAGCCAGGAGGAGAGGGCACTGGCGTGGTTTTGTGTGGGTGCCTTGCGGGCTGGTTTCCCGTCAGTGCCTCATCCTGCCTGGTTCACCCAGCTGGCTGCAGAGCCGAGGCTTCACCCCAGCCAGCAGCGCGGGGACGGGGACGGATGGCTGGCGAGGCTCTGGGAAATGTCAGGAAGATGCCAACGGCTTCTTTCTGCTCTTCAGCAAGTTTTGCCAAACCCCGCCAGCTCCTGCGGCACGGGGCAGGGGGTCCGGGACACCCAGCCCTGCTTCCCTGGAGCTTGGCAGCGACGGAGCCTGCTCAGGGCACTGCCCCGGCGTCCCTGCGGGCCACATCCAGACCTTCACTGCTGTCCTTGCTCTCTCCCAGGTTGGTGCTGGCCCCGGCGAGGGATTTAACGTCAACATAGCCTGGACTGGAGGGCTCGACCCCCCCATGGGTGACCCTGAGTATCTAGCTGCTTTCAGGTATTGTTCCTTGTGTTTCTGCTCGTCTCCTCTTTCCCTCCGTGTCAGGCTGAGCCAGCACTTAAACACCTCTTACTTGTTTTTTTTACCCACGCAGGACGGTGGTGATGCCGATTGCGCACGAATTCTCCCCCGACGTGGTGCTGGTGTCGGCCGGCTTCGATGCAGCTGATGGCCACCCAGCCCCCCTGGGCGGCTACAAAGTCTCTGCTAAATGTAAGGAGGTGGAAGCAGCGTGGCTGGCTCGGGGCGGGTTGTTCCCGCTGCCCACCCAGGCTGAGACACAGCGCAGTTGGAGGGGGAAGCTCACCGGGGAGAGTCAGGGAAGAATCTTTGGGGTTGTACCAGCCCGGGGAATCGAGGGTCAGGGCATCGGCGTTTCGGGCGGGGAGGCTGACAAACCCAACCCCCCCCCCCCCCCCCCGGGGTTCTCCTCCAGGCTTTGGCTACATGACGAAGCAGCTGATGAGCCTGGCTGGCGGAGCCGTCGTCCTCGCGCTAGAAGGTGGCCATGACCTCACGGCCATCTGCGACGCATCCGAGGCCTGCGTGTCTGCTTTGCTGGGCAACGAGGTGAGAGCGGGGGCTGCGGGGCTGTACTGGTGCTGCGAGCCGAGCCCCGGGCACAGCTCCCTCCTGCTGACCCCCCCCCCCCGTCGTGTTTTCATTTGGCAGCTGGACCCTCTCCCGGAAGAAAGCATGAGGCAGAAGCCAAACCCCAACGCTGTGCGCTCCTTGGAGACGGTGATCCAGGTCCAGAGTGAGTGTCCCAGGGCCAGGGGATCCGCTGGTTAACATGGAAAGGCCAAGAGTTAGCATTTCCTCCCCTCTCCAGTAAACCTCGTGACCTCCAAAGAGACACTTGGTATAAAAAACCCCAGTGGAGCCCTCCGTCATCATCCTCCTCATGAGAGGGTGATTCCCCACGTGTGCATTCACTGCATGGGAACCCCCCCCAAAGACTTGGGGCACCCTTATTCTGGCACCTCCTGATTTTTGCTTCTCCTGCAGGTAAATATTGGGTGGGCTTGCAGCGCTTTGCCTCCAAGCTGGGCTGCTCCTTCCTGGAGGCGCAGCACCACGAGGCAGAAGAGGTGGAGACAGTCACAGCCTTGGCCTCGCTCTCGGTGGCCGTGATGGTGGAGAAGAGGTGATGCTCTTAATCGATCCTAGGAGATGCGGGTGCCCCGCACCCCCTGCGTGCCTGGCTCTGAGTCTTGGTGTCACGGCAGAGAAAGGCCGTGTCTCACAGCCGGATGAGCTTCTGGAAGGTCAGGACAGTCCTGGCTGGTGTGGGAGTAGAAATTCCAACCGTCTTCCCCACCGAGAGCTCTGATCCTGTCACCCTCGCGTCCTGGCAGCTTTGGGCTCGGCGTTCGGCATGGGGGGGCAGTGGGGTCAGGACCTGGCTTGGCTGCTGGGAGATTCAGTGTCGGGCTCTTCCCAAACAAGACGAAAACGAGACCAAATCCTCTTCCCTCGGAGGCTGGAGGTGTGGGGGTGCGTCACCTCCTTTCAGCGGGGTCCCCACCCACCCACCACCTTTTTTCATCCTCCCCAGGACTCAGCCAGGGTCTGCGTGGGTCTCGGGGGAGCGGGAGGCTCCGCCTGGCAAACTGGGAGGTTTGTGGGACAGCCCCAGAAGCTGGACTTGCCAGCAGGCCCCTTGCTGCTGAGGGGGCCGCGTTGTGTCACACCTCCCTCCTCCTCCTCGTCTCACGCGTCGTATTTCTCCGCTTCAGGCCACAAGACGAGCCGATGGAGGAAGAGGAGCCCATGAACCAGTGATGAGCGGTGACGTTCTCTGCTCCCCTGCTTCCAGGATGTGGCTGGACTCCCCTGAGCCCAGCGCTCGCTCCTCACTCCTGGCCTTCCCGTTTGCCACATCATCCTCGCTCCCCGAGTCACGGTCCTGACGTGGCCCGGACCTTCGGCTGCCGCCTCCGCAGGTCTCCCAGTAAGGATGCTCCTGCAGCCACCTGGAAGACGTCCTCCTGCTCGGGACCGATGGAAACCCACAAACTCCCTCTGCACGGCGCGGCCTTGCGAACCTAGACCGTGCCTGCGAGCAGTCCCCAACCTCCGGGACCTGAAACCCCCCTTTGGGGGTTGTGCTTGAGAGGCCTCCACCCCTCTGGGCACGGTGGCAGCCGGGCGCAGACCTGCCCTTCTCCTGGGATCTTCCTCACCCTTGGGGAAGGGGGTGGGTGTTGGGATGGATGTTGTGGCCGTTGCTGCGGGTGGGTAGAGCCACCTTGGGGACTGCGCCCAGAGCTCCTCTCCGGCCAGGCAGCCCTGCCTTTGAGAAGCAACCCTGCGTTTTGCTCGGGAGGGACAGGCTCTCCGCGTCTTCTCGCGAAGGCTTCCCGGCTCCCTTTCCTCTGGTGGGGCGCGAGGCGGGAGCGAGTGTGACAGTGACACGGGGGCCGAGCTCGTCCTGCACGAGGAAGGGTTTGGAGCCGTGGATGAGGCGCCGATGCCCCGCGGCTGGGGAAGAGCAGGGGCTGGAGTGTCTGCAGTGCCCAGGATTGCACCCGTGGGTCATCCTAACCACTAACCAGAGCGTGAACCCTCTGGTGCCGGGGCTCTGATTTGCACTATATACAATTGACGTGTGCTAATGTGAACCTTACGTACTCTTCTTTCCGTGGGAATTTCGGGGAGCAAACGCCTCTTCGTGTGGACGTTACCAAGGTGCCTTGAACCCTTTCCAGCACCCCGCTGAGCTGAGGAGCTGTGTCAACGTAGACCCCTCTAAGCCCTAAAGCAGGGGCGGCCCAGCTGGCTTCCAGTCACACACACACCCCCTCCCTGAGCCCACCCCCAGCACCCCAACGGGCTCCTCTTCTCCAGCTGCGATCAAATCAAGTCCTGGTGCCCTCGGTGTGGTGCTCAGCTCCCCCAGGGATCTCCAAATTCCCAGCAAGACAGTGCCTGTGTCTGTCCAGGCTACCTTGGGGTGAGAGAGGCCATGTCAGACAGACACCACCACCACCCCCCCCCAAAAATGAGCTGTCCTTCTAGATGTGCCTTCTTGCTATCTCCTGCTGTAACAGGGCATCGGGTGGTCCCTCACCCCGAGAGCCTTCCCGCTGTGTCCAAGGGGCTGCCCCACAAGGACAGGTCCCCACTCGGGCGTCATGATGCTGGGCAGCAGCGGGGTTTGGAGGCAGCAGCTGGTCTGGGGGGCAGAGGGGATGGAGGTGGCCAGGTCCGGCTGCAGGCACAGGGAGGGGATTTTTGTTAAAAAAAAAAAAAAAAAAAAAAATTAACAAAGGAGGAGAAAGATAAAAAAAAAAAAAAAAGGGACCTTGGAAGAATAAAACATTTCTGTGTCTCAGACTGCCCAGAGCTGGGGTCCAGGGGCACGGAGCCGGCGGGGGGGGGGGGGTGGGGGGGTGGGTGAGGTCCCTTACGGCTGGGTGACACGTCGGGGAGTCACCGTGGCCACACCGTGGCACAGACCCCCCCACCCCGAGGGCTGCCTCCTTGCTGGACAGGAGAGAGGGTGCCGCATAATGGTGGGAGGGCTTGGGCAGGAAGGGGTTAAAAAGCCCCCCCCCCCCCCCCCCCCCCCCAAACCTCTCCATGTCTTCTCCCAAGCCTGGCACTCGTAGGTGCTGTCTCTCCATCCTCTGGGGTCCCCCCCCCCCCTCAAGGTGGGCAGGGGGGTGGGGGGAAGGACCTGCTGCTTCTCCAGCCTCGGGGTGCTTGTTTCTTGTGTCCCTGAGCTGAACTGGGCACCCCACAACCCCCCACCCCTCCCCGTTCCTCCTCCGATGCCACCACCTCTCCCTCCACCAGCCTCAGTTTCCCTTCCCGGCTCGGTCCCAACCTCACTCCCATTTCTCCCAGTGGGTCCCAGCTGGAGTCGCGCCACGCAGGACCAGTGGTGGCCCACGGCCACTCGGCACCTCCGAGCACGCCCAGAGCTCAGCATGGAAGGAGAGTTTGTGCCCCAGTTTCCTCCAGGAGAAAGCTGGGGTGCAACTGGGTGAGCTCAGCTGTGGAAGCCCCAAGCAAACAGCCTCTTCCCTCACCGCTGAGCTTCTTTAATATTTAGCATTTTCAGGTTTTCTCTGGGTCTGTCAAGGCGAGATACCAAAGGAAAAAAAAAGCTGTGATTAATTAAGCTCATGACTTCACGGGCTGGCCCTTCCCAGCCTCCAGCCTGGCTGGGAGCACCCAGCCAAGACCTTCACGAGCCCAACCCTGGGCGAGAAGTCGTTCATCTTTTTGGCAACACCCCCCCCTTTCCCGTGGCGGGTCACCCCAAAGCGGAGCTGAACCCCCGAGCAGCCCCCGCCTTGCGTTTGCTCCCCTCTTGTGTCACCCCACTTGCAGCCGACGGCCCCCGGGAAGCGCCGGCCCCCGTTCGCTTAAAACCCCGAAGACGGGGGGGCCGGACGCAGCGGTGAAGCGTGGGCGTTCAGGCGAGAGCATCTTAATTCTAGCAGAGTCACCCTTGCCAAGGGGTGGCACCTCCTCACCCCCAAGTCCCCACCCCACCCAAAAAAAGCTCTTTCGGGGTGTCTGCCGAGCGCGGAGGTTGGAGGAGGTGGTGGGGTCCCGTGGGTGGGGGTCCCATGGGTGGGGGTCCCGCCGTGGCGATGCTGAAACTGAGGGCTGGGTGGGCGCGTCGCTGCCCTGGGTGCTCCCACAGCTTCTGGGGGCTGGGGGGGGGGGGGAGGAGGGACCCCCTCCTCAGGAGGGAGACCCCCCCCCACTTCGAGCTCCCGCCTGCCCAATTTTAACAGCCGAACGTCGGGCAGAGTCGTCCCACCACGAAGCCGGCGCTGACCCACTCCGGGGCCGAGCCCCTCCGCAGCCACCCCAGCTGCGGGGCCCTGCGCCCCCCACCCTGCTGTAAATGGAGAGCAGGGGACCCCCCCACTCCCACCCCCCCCCCCAAAAACAGGCACCGGCTCCCCCGAAAATCACTCCCCAGCCCAGGGGAAGGTTTGTTGGCGTGGCCAGAAAAACCGCGCGATGCCACGGCCAGCCACGCCGAGGGGGCCGCGGGCTGCCCCAGCGTCGTGCTGGGGGCGGCCGTCCCACGGGGTTGGGGTTCACGGGTGCTTTTCCCCCCCACCCGTGGGAAGACGAAGATGCTGAGGGCCAGGACCTCTCCAGATCCTGCCCCAAAAACCTTTTCCCCCCCCACAACTTTCTGCGACTTTGGTAACAGCGACCGCGGTCGCGACTGTGAACACTGAAAAAACCCCAAGACCTTGCTTCAAATTATTGTTCCTTCCTTAGGGCTGACATTTCTTTAATTTTAAAATAAGTCAATAGAGGGATCTTTTTTTAAAAAAAAAAGACTCAACAAAATGTTACTTAATAATTTTTAAAAAGATACTTTACCCTTTTTTTTTTTTTTTTTTAATTAGGTTGGGAAGCCTGAGTCTCAACTCAGGATACACAAAGAGGTATTTCCCTTTATTTTTAAAGCACTTTTTTTTTTTTAATAAATTTTATATTTCTAAAGGTGGTTTCATTTTTCATGTGTAAAATACTTCATCTGATGCAGGTAACAAAGCCATCCACAACCCTATTTTTAATGGAATTTTTATTTTTTTAAGCACATTCAGATCTTTCTAAAGGCTGCACTCAGCTCCCTGGAGCAGGGAATCCACTCACATTGTACATAAAAAATTGAGAATTATATGGAAAAAGATAGTCTGAGCCTTGCTGTCGCTTCTCCTTGGATTCTCTGGTGTGGAATAAAGCGTGGTCACTAATTGAAACTCTGCTGTGGAGTCATTCGTAACACTTCTCTCCCACGTGGATTATTTTGGGTTGCACGCCCGTTGCAGCCTCACTTACAGGGACTTTTTTTTTCCCAACCCCCCCCCCTTTCCCTGCCATAACAAGTAAAAATACCTGATTCTGTTTTGCCCAATTTAATTCAAACTGGCCGAGCACCGGCGCTGACAGAGGCTGCAGGGGTGGGCGAGCGGCCGCGCCGCCTCGTGCTCACGACAGCACCATTTCCTTAGGAAACAAAAGGATTGAACCCTGCAAAATTCCCTCCGGACTTTTTAGGGATCGTCCAGAAACCCTGACGCTCCTCCGTCATCCCCCCCAGCAGCTCCACGTCCCCCCAACACATTCCCACCCCCGAAAGAGCCTGAAGCCCCCCCCCCCCCGCCCCGAGCTGTCCCCGAACTCCCCCATTCTCGCAGGGAAGAGGGAAGGGCTGGGTGCTTAACGCCTCCAGCCTTATTTTCCAATAATTTCAAAGAAATTGGGTTGTTCCAACGGAGCGGGTGATTCTGAGGCACGTCCACGGGGTACAAGTGAGTGGAGGGCGTCGTGAGCCTCGGGGTTCTTCGAGGGGTTCAGCAGCCACACACCCCCCCCCCCAAAAACCTGCTCCGCGTGCCGGGCGGCCGTTCCCACCGCGGCATCGTTGAGGCGCAGGGAGAAAAGCGGAGCCGGGCTGGGCGCCGTGCTCCATCCTTGGCCGGACCCTCGGCCGCTGCGTTTTCGTGTCCCCGGGGGAAGCAGCAGCTCGAGCCAGTCCCGGCGGGGCTTATCCTGCCCGGTCCTGGCAGAAGGCAGCTGCCTGCACGTCCTGGCTGGCTGCGGGATGCGGGGGGGGGGGGGGGGATGCAGGGTTGGGGGGGGGGGACGGAGCCCGCTGAGCCGGGGACATCAGCTTCCCGGCAGGCTCGGGGAGCAGGCGGCTAGTGCCGGAGTAGATCAACTCGCCTATTTCTTACCTGCGAGCCAAAAATAAATTACACCTCAAAGAGTTTCATACACAGCATCCGAACAAGCTCGTTCCAAGCAAAACCGCCAGGGTCCTGGTTCGGGTCCCTCTGTCCCAGCCCTGGGGTTTGGAGAGGGGTCAGAGCAGCCCCGGGCGAGGGGGCCGGCGGGGTGGGACGGGGCTCGTGCTCTCCTGCTCGCCGGGGAGGCTGCTGGCGGATTTGGGGGTTCTGGAGGAGAGCAGGATGGCTGGGTCTGGGTGCCCGGGTGCTGGCGAGCTGCTGCTTGTTTCCATCGAGGCGGAGGCGTAAGACCTACGGGGAGACAGGCAGGGTTCAGCCTGGCTGCCAAGTCACCGAGGTTTTGGCTCGGCGCGGCCAGCCCGGGCTTCCCAAAATCGTGCAAAATCCGGCGCTCGGCCGGGAAGCCGGCGGGGAGAAGAGCCGCGTCCTGTTGCTGGCTCCCGAGCCTTCGTGCTTCGCATTCGCAGACTTCCCCGTAGCCGCAAGAGTTTTGCACGGGGCGAGCTGGGGAAACGGCCCCGCACCTGAGCCTGGGACCGTGAGCGGTCCCAAAAAAAAAAAAAATCGCAGCGTTTACCCCCAAATTTGCTTCTCTGGGAAGATGAAGAAGAGAAGCGGCTGGACCGCTCGCCTCTCCTTCCCTGCCCTCCGCGGGGAGGACTGGCGTTATCCTGTGATGAATGTCCCCTCTCTAGCCTGGAGGACGACAGGCTGTCCCCAGGGTGGGTGACGTTGGGGGGGGGTGGGGACCCCACGGAGCTGCCGGACGCCTCCGGCTGCCGCCAGCCCGGAGCCGGGGGCCGCGGCGCCGGTGAACCGAGGCCAAGAGCTGGGCCTCATCCAGACCTCGGGCAGGGGGAAACGTCCCCGGCAAGACATGGCTCCAGCAG